GGGCCCAGGAGGGGTTGGAGGGATCGCGAGTTCGAGGCTCCAGTCTGTCGGTTGAGTCACGCGTCGAAAGCGTGGTGGTTTGGGGTGCGGGAGCGGCATTTCCTATGCCATTCTTTCTGTTTTTTATTTTTCCAGGGTTTCTCTGCGTATCCAGGGCAGCTCTGTAGACCAGGCTGGACTCCAACTCACAGAGGCCAGCGCGCCTCCCAAGTGCCGGGATTAAAGGAGCGTGCCACCACTCTGGGCTCCCTTCCTTATTTCTAATTCAAGGTCACACTATCCCAGGTTGGCTCCCTAACTTAGTGCCAGGCCAAGGAGAATCCTCCTGCCTCCACCTCCCACGCCTTGGAATCTCAGGCATGTATTGCAGGGGATGGAATCAGAGCTCCGTGCATGCTAGGACGCACTCAGCTTCTTGTTTGTTTTAGATTGTGAGTCACTCTGTAGCTGGCCTGGAATTCACTATGTAGCCCAGGCTGGCCTCTAGCTCAACCATCTGCCGGCCTTAGTCTCCCCAGTTCCCTGCATGTGCCTACACCAGACTGCCCACTTTGCCCTCGTGAAACAGGAGAGTTTCATGAGATTTCTACCCAGGCAGAATAAATGAATGGGATCTGCTCTAGTTTTCTCTCTTTCCACAGTATCAAGAAAATGCAGGTTAGATGTGGTGGTGCTTGCCTTTAAACCCAGCACTCCCGAGGTAGAGTCAAGGGGTCTCTGAGTTCAAGGCCAGCCTGGTCTACATGATGAGTTCCAGGACAACCAGAGTTACACAGTGAGACCCTGTCTCAAACAAAAAGCAACAAAAAAGGAAAATCTTCCTTGGGGTGAAGGTGGCTCACAACCGTCTGTAACTGCGGTTTCTGGTCCTCTTCTGAGCTCCAAGGGCACCAGGCATATGTGACACCTACCATACATGCAAACAAAACATTCATACAAATAAAATAAATCTAAAAATATTAAAAAGAAAGAAATCTCCCCTACAACCTCACCCATGTGCATATTCTCTGCCCAGAGTGAACACTGAATATTGATTCTGATGCCTGGGCTCTTTAAAGTGGAAGAGAAGGGTGAGGATCCCTCCTCTGGGAAGCTTGACTGGAGCTGGGAGTTGTTACCATGCGTCCTGGGCTCCACACATGACAGAAAGGAAGACTGCATTAGATCAGTAGTACCCTGTGCCCAACACTAACTAGCTCCTGGTGTGAGAGTGGATTCTAGCTTGCTCTTGGAATGCTGTGGTGGGCACAGTGCCTGGCATGCATTTATTCCCCACAACTACCCTCTCATAGAGGCATTTTGATTCCCATCCTAGAACTGTCAAGAGAAATGCACAGAGACAAGTCTCTCGTCCAAGGCAACATTGCTGAGCTAGGCTAGCAGCTGAACATGCCTATAAGCCTAGGAGAAGCTAAGGCAGGAGGATCACCCAAACTTCGAGGCCAGCCTGGTCTACTTGGTGAGTTCCAGGTACAGAGTGAAAACCCTGTCTCAAAAAACAATAAACAAAGCACTCTTGCAAATGGGAAGGGGGGCTGGATTCCAGCCAGACCTTCAGAGGATCTCTTTGGGGGAGTGGGAGAGGGATGGGGATGCGGACAGACTCTGGTTCTAAAATCCCATGATGTGGCCTGGGGTGGATTCCTGGTAAGCTCTGCATCTTGGTTTTCTCCATTGTGAAATGTGCCTACCTCAGGATGGGTGGGTGGTGGCACACACACTAAATCCCAGCATTCGTGATCCCTGAACAGGCAGGTGGATCTCGGGGAGTTCAAGGCCAGCTGGGTCTACAGAGCCAGTTCCAAGACAGCCAGAGCTACACAAAGAACCCCCCTCCCCCACAAAAGAAAGGAAGGAAGGAAGGAAGAAAGAGAGTGTCTGCATCATAAAAGGTGAACGAGTTCATCTAATGGGCTTAGCAAGGGGCTCAGTCATTATTTAAATATTATATGGATATTATATGGGTATTTTTTCATAGCACATATGCAATTTGAAGTCGAAGGACAACTTGCCGTAGTCTATATTCTCCTTCTATTGTGTGAAACCCAGGGATCGAACTCAGGTTGTCAGGCTTGGCAGCAAGCAGCCATATCCAGGGAGCCATCTAGCCAGCCCATTAATCCTTGCTGGATAGACAGCTGCCCTGATAAGCAATATCCTTAGAAATAGAGCGCTCCTGTAAGAAAAAATTAAAGTTGCCTGTTCTGGTGAAAAATTAGGGACCCCACCCTTGGAGGCTGCCTGACTGAAGCCATTGCCTGTTTGGTGGGCTCCTGTCCTTATGGGGTACACATTTGAGGAATAGCCCCATAGATGCTTTCACCCCTGTATGCAGAGCTCAGTAAATGAATGAATCAAGTGCCCATCCTGACCCCAAGTGCTGGATGTCATCCAGTGACTGGAACCCTGTGCCCCTGTCTTTTTCTTTTTTGCATAGCCCAGGGTGAAGCCCAGGGGCCCACATGCTAGGCAGTGTCTCTCTAACCCTGAGCTACATACTCTTCCCCTCTTTTTGCTTTTGATTTGACACAGTTTCACTAAAGTGCCTCATCAGACCTTGAACTTGTGATCCTCCCCTCCTGAGTAGCTGAGATGAGAGGCCTGTGCCACTGGGCCCAGTCATTGGCAGTTCACATGGTCCCAGAATTTGCTGGCATCGTGGCACTCCTTCTGATGTCCTAGGCCACTTCTCTGCTTCCATGTCCAGCAGGCTGTCTTTCTTCAGCAGTATCCCTCTACCCTTGCCTTATTTCCACGTGGTCTCTCTGGCTCCTCCTGTCTGACAAACCTCCCTGTTTCGTTCTGTAAGAACACTTGTCATGTCAGGATGGCCGAACAGTCTAAGAACACTTGTCATTGTGTCCCAAACTGATGTTGCCGGCCAGTGATCCAGATCCCCACCCCAGGCTCCTAAATCAATGGCATGCAAAACTATTTTCCCAAATAAGGTCACACTGGTGATGTGACTTCTTAGGGGCCCCACTTAACCCACTGAAGTGGCAGACGATGACACCCCATCAGAAATCTCAGCCCTGGAAGAGAGGCTGAGTCTCCTCACACCCGCTCTCCGCACAACAGCACCCAAGATGGTCACACCTTCCTGATAAAAACACTGTGAGGCTTTCTCGTTCTACTTAGAAAAAAGCCTGGCCGAGAAACGGAGAGATGGCTTTGTGCTTAGGAGCACTTATTGCTCTAACAGAGGAACCCCATTCAGTTCCCAGCCACTACACAGTGGCTCACAACTACCTGTAATTACAGTACTGGAGGCTCCCATGCCTCTTCAGGCACAGGCACAGACAGGCACACACACACACACACACACACACACACACACACACACTTAAATGTGTGTATTAAAAAAAAAAAAGAATAGCTGGGCAGTGGTGGTGAGCACATCTTTAATCCCCGAACTCAGGAGGCAGAGGCAGGCAGATCTCTGTGAGTTCGAGGCCAGCATTGTCTACAAAGCGAGTTACCGGACAGGTTCCAAAGCAACACAGAGAAACTCTCTTTCAGGAGAAAAAAAGAAAAGAAAATGAAAAAAAGAATAACAATCCACCCCTAGCTCGGGTTGTCATGCCCTGGTGACCGTGGTGACCTGACCCGTCTGCCTCCCCACCCTCTCTCTACATGGCCTGCTTCGCTCCATTCTGGGTCCCTTCCTAGCTGGCTGGTTTCTACCACAGGAACTTTGTGCCACCCAGCTCTGACCAGGACCCTCTGTTTGTGTATCTTCTCTCCCTTCAGGTCTCACGCTGAGTGTCACCTCCTCAAGAAGGTCTCCTGACTGCAGCTAATGCCTCCTGTCATCCTCTGCTGCTCCTATTTTATTGGCTGGCTTCTCGCCTGGCAGTCCTGTCTCATCAGGGTGGAACCTCTCTTTTCCCATGTCCCAGCACCTGACATTTGCTGGAAAGAGAGACTTTAGTGACCCTAAGTGTCAGCTTTCCCCAAAGCCTTGTGGACAAAGCTGGCCCTGCCAACCTAATGATGATGGTAGCTGATTACAAAGTAAACAAGGTGGCCGTTGTCACCATGGCTAAATTGGTTTCTGGTCAGGCAAGCCTGTAAAGTGCTCCAATGTTCTCACTCGGGTTCTTGGATTTCTCTTTGCAGATTCCACTAAGGGAAGAAATTAACAGTTCAAGTCAACCTTTTAATCACCCCAGGACTTGTGGGTAGAGCAGAGAGTGTTTTCGAAGCATGGGGTTGTTGCTGGCCCCTGACTGAGCGAGGCCAGCAAGTGGCCTTGACAGTAGTGGCATTGGCCTACCAGTAATGCAACTTAGAGCTTAGAATCCGAAGTAACAGTCAAACTCTAATGTTGCTTCATCCGGGAGGTCCCTACTCCTTTCCCCTCTCTCGATAACTCCCAACCCCGGCCCTTCACACGAGCCATGACTTGAAGTGTTTGTCATCATCCCTTTACTGACTGTAAACTTTGTGAATAAGTGAGGCTGAGTTGTGTTGCCCAACACCGTCCTCGTTGGGCTGGAAGTCTGCAAGTCATTCTTCCCAAACCCCCACCTGTTCTAGAATTCAGGATGGCAAGGGCTTCTTTGCCTCTCAAAGACTGAAGCCCTTGGGATGTCCAGCACAACCACCCAGTGCTGGGAGCACACAGGCAGGATGGGCGCAGCTCCACCTCAGAGCCTCAAGATTGGATTTCCTAGCAGAATTAGGCACCTGGATCGCTTGGTGAGCCAGTCTCTGAGATGGAGTACCAGTGGGGAAGTCAGAGTGCTGGCATGGAAGGCATAGGCTCCAGCCCTCAACTGTCTGGGCATTAGTTAAACTCCAAAGTCCCCTTATGTCCTTCAAACTGTTTGACTTTCTCAGGTGTAGTCAGTCACCGCTGAGACACAGTAAAGAGGGACAATCGATACACAACCCAGAACCAACAGCTGGCCTGGATCAGAGAGCGTGTGGCTGTCACGTCAGAGTTTCCGAGCCCAGAGTCTGCCTCTTACAGCCTGTGTGCCCGCCGGACCAAGTTTCTTAACCTCTTGGTGTTGGCCTAGATAATTTCCTATGAGAAAACACAACCGAAAGTGGCTTTTGCAAAATGGGAAGTTTTTGGCTCATGAAAATGGGAAGTCTAAAAGCTGCTTGCTTCAGGCATAGGGGCACAGACAATGCCATTCTGACTCTGGCTCCTCGGCCCCGTTCTCTGCTTGCCTTGTACTGGCTCCTGCAGATGGCCTGGGATGGCCCAGCAACCCTCTCTCCCAGCACATATCCTGGCATGTAGTCTGCTAAGTTCCATGGAGGGAGGGGCTGTCCAGAGGAGAACTTGGCAGAGGGAAGAAGCCAGGCTTACAGGGGTCAATGACTTAACGGAGGCCTTGGAGCCAGCAAGGCCAACACAGGCTCTGAATGTGGACCTCTCACCTAAGAGTCTGTGCCCTTCCCCAGGATGTTGTACAATCTCCCCAGGAATTCCCATGAGCTCTAAAAATAGCACAAATGGCTCCAAGAATGCCAATCATGGTGACATCTATTACTTTAAAGACCAGGCGTGGTGGCACACGCCTGTAATCCTGGCACTAGGGGGTGGAGGCAGAATGTCCAGAGGTTCAGTGTCATCCTTGACCATATAGAGGGTTCAAGTCCAGTCTGAGGTACATGAGACCCTGTCTTGGAAAAAAAAATTATTTTTTTAACTTAACACTGTGAAAGTCTATACCATTAGGAGTCCCATTTGAACTGCAGCACAGAGAAGTTAGGCAACTTGCCCACAGTTGCACAGGCTTGACGCATGGTTCTGAAGTTGTGTTAGTCTGCAGTCCGCACCATTTCAGGAAGGGAGGCGGCCCTACCCGAAGCTCCGCCCCACTCACATCCTCCCTGGGCTCTTCAAAGCCTTCAAGAGACTCTCCCATCGCCCCGCCCCCGGAAAACATTTCAGACTTGATTCCAGGCCATTATAAATAAACACACAAATATAATCCCAAGCTGGCCGTCTCGTAAGAAAAGACGGGAGGAGGGGGAGGCATTTAGGGGAACCGGGGAGTCACGTGTGTGCTGAGAAAGGCTGCAGAGAGGCGAGGGGGCGTGGTTCGGGGAGGGAAGTGGAACCCAGAGATGGAAATGAGGTTTGGCTCCCGCTTTCAGCAAAGGTGGAGTCTGGGAGAGTTGCTGGAGGCCAGGGCACGTCTCCACCCTCCCTGACGAGGTCAGGGCACTGTTGTTGCCCAGCCCGTGGTTCTGGGTATGGATCCTGGAACCTGGAGGCCTTGGGCAAGCGTTCTCTTGGGCAAGCCAGTTCCTCATCTCTCAGACCCTCAATTTTCTGTCTTACATAAGGGAGGGAGGCATTACTGAAGAGACTGGCAGCGTCAAGTGCCCTGCTCTTTCGGGTTAGCAGCAAGGTCTTCGTAAATTCGGTTCTTGTGATATCAAACATTCAGGTTACTAGCCAGCTCTAGAAACTTCTAATGTATGCTGTAACTAACTTCTCTGGGGGCTTTATCCTTTTGCTGCGAGCAGGTGGGGGAGGCTTGGCCAATGTGTGCACAACTTGTACAATTGCACAGACCTGCCCCTCAGCCTTGGCTGGTTGTACTTTCATTATCTTGAAATTGTAAATCACTTTTTACTTCTTGTTTTTTCTTCTCATTGTTGGGGATTTGAACCCAAGGCCTTGTGCATACTAGATAAGAGCTAAACCACTAAGCTACATCTCCAGCCCTCTCCAAATAGCTGGTCTTAGAGGGGTGATCTTAAGTGGTCACTCTCTTGAAAGGTGTGGCTTTAGTGACTCTTCCTTTGTCTTTGATGGAAGACCTGGCAGAAGCAATTTAGGGGACAAGAGGACTCTTGTTGTTGTTTGATTGTTTTTGTTTTGTTTTGTTTTGTTTGCAGCACATAATTCCAAGGGAGAAAACAATACAGTCCATCATAGCGGGAGAGTTGTCTGGAGAGGCTTCATCCTGGGCAGTGGGAACTTGGGGATGGAGCTTCTCACATCCTAGCAGGTCAGGAAGCAGAGACAAGACCCAAAACAGGGTCAGGCTATAACCCACATTTCTCACGCCAAGAGACCTGATGATCACCAGCCACACCATACCTCCCAAAGGTCCCAAAATACCCAAGTAATGCCACAAGTTGGGAACCAAGTGTCCCAACATACGAGGCTCTGGGGGACAGTTTATTAAAATCCAAACAGTGTCAGAGCAGTTTCTTTGAAGATGATGTACAGTCTTGTGAAAGGTTCAGGCATTATGCTGGCCTGCCCCTGTTACCTGGTGGAATCCACTCAGGCAATACCCTGGTCAGCCCAAGGTTCCATGGGAAAGAAGTCTGCACACAGGTGCAGAGGACCCCTTTAAAAGATAGGCCCCTGCACCTTTCTCTCTCTGCACCTTTACGCTCTCTTTCTCTCTCTCTGTCTGTTCCCGCTCTCTCTCTCTCTCTCTCCCCCTGTTCCTGCTCTCTGTCCCCTCTCTCTGTTTCCCCGCTCTGTCTCTCTATGGCGACCGGCCATGGCGGTCAGCCATTACCCTGTCCCTCTTCTTAGTCTACCCATTCTACCGGCCCTTATAATAAACTTATAGTAAATATGTCTGTCTCAATATTTCTCTTTTCTTCTTTTTAAACAAAAGAATAACATTTTGGCAACCAACGTGGAAAGGCTCTGCCCTTATGCCTTCTGCGACCTGCTGGCGGGCGCATGTTAGGCTAAGGGTAACCTTACAATCCACTTCCATCTCCGCTTTTCCTGGCACTCCCTCCTGCCTGCAGCAGCCTGAGATGCCGGAACTCAACTCGAAACAAAAGAATAACATCTTGTCCTGTCATTCTGGGAGAGACCAATGGCAGCCTGTCCTAAAACAGGACAACTTGCAAGAGTCAGTTCTCTCCTTCTGCCATGTGGGTTGGTCATGGGAATTGAACTTGGGTCATCAAGCTTGGCAGCAAGTGCCTTTAGGAGTCATCGTGTTGGCCCAGTAACAGGGATTGAACATGGTATAACTGCATGCACTGCGTATAAACCTCAGGCTAGCTTTGGTGCTAAGTGAGCATCTCCCTGGCTCTCTGCAGTGACCTGGTGGTAGGAAACTGAGGCCTGGAGTGGTCCTGTGACTTGTCTTAGGTTGCTTAGAGGTGAGGGGATGGTGTCATAAGCTGAGAAGATCTCTGGCCTGACTTGGCCTTTGTGTGTGTGTGTGTGTGTGTGTGTGTGTGTGTAGTTGTGTGAGGAAGCCAGAAGAAACTTTAGGTATCATTCCTCAGATGCTGTCTACCTTGCTTTGGAGTCAGGACATCTCACTGGTTTGGAACTCAACAAGGTATCAGGGCCGGCTGGTCAGCAAGGCCCAGGGATTGACCTGACTCTGTATCCGCAGTATTGGGGTTACAAAGGTGTGCCACTCAGCCAGGATCTCCCCCTCACCCCCAGAGTTCTGGGGATAGAACTCAGGTCTCATGCTTGCATGGCAAGCGTCTCACTAACTGAGTCATCTTCTCAGAGAGGCAGACTGTAGCTCAGACTGACCTTGAACTCTTGTCCGTCCTTCCTGCTTCAGCCCCCTTTGGCACTGGGATCACAGGTGGGTGTCACCGCTCCCAGAGTCACAGTCTACTTTTGGAGATGGAAGTGGCCTTTGTCTGAGATTCCCACTGACTAGAACTGGGGATCCTTTGCAATGTGGAGAGGCCACAGAGAGGACTCCCATTTGACCTCATCGGGACTGTGGGGAAGCACAGAAGCAGGGAGCTATGTGCCAAGGGCTTTGGCTGTCCCTGCTGCCCATGGGCTGGGGTAGGCAGGGTAGGACCTTTTGTTTAATAATGGTCGGGGTGGCAGACAGGAAGAGAGAGACTTAGAGCAGCCTCCACTGGGGGACACAGGCTGACTGCCACAGATCAGCAGCTAACCATTGGACTGTGAGGCCAGCAGGAGGGCATGAGGAAACACTTAACATGGACCTAGAAGGGGCTTGTGGCCTTGTGGATAATTTTAGTGCATGGCTCCTTTTCTACCTTGTGTGTCCCATCTGTCACCCTAACAGCTACAGACAATTGTATTTGTAGCCTTTATGGGTTCATCTGAGCTGTTGGGTCAGATCCTAATTGGATTCAATATCAGTTCTCTCTCTCTCTCTCTCTCTCTCTCTCTCTCTCTCTCTCTCTCTCTTCATACAAATGGATTTGAAGTTAGACACTGGCCCTTCCATTCTGGAACTACATTCCCAAAATCCTTTGAGGCTAAATGCGCTACTTCATTCAGTACAAAGGCTATGAGTGGACTTCATGTGATCCGCTTTTAAATCCTGACCTTAAGGTGGGTGGGCATGGTGTGGGAGACACATGATCTTTTATTTGTTTGTTTTTAATACAGGTTTTCGTTGTGTAACCCTGGCTGTCCTGGAGCTCACTCTGTAAACCAGGCTGGCCTCGAACTCACAGAGATCCATCTGCCTCTGCCTCTGCCTCCCAAGCTCTGGGGTTAAAGGCTTGCACCAACATCGCCTGGTTTGGGAAATCTTTTACCTTCTCTCCATTCTACTGCTTGGAATGTAATATACTGGGCACAAGTTTGAACTGCGCAGACAAGAGCTTAGTGGGAGGATGGAAGAGAATGGGACAGAAGGACCTGTCTCATCCTATACTGACTGCACAGCTGCCTATGTAAGAGAGATGTCCAAACTACCCCTGTGTAGCCACGGTGCCTAGTTCCTCTCACCAGGCACGTCCTTATTGTTAGAGTGAACTCTGCTGCAGCCGGAAAGCCAGCTCAGTGGTCAAGAGCACTGGTTGCTCTTGCCAAAAACCTGGGTTCCATTCCGCACACCGCCATGGTGGCTCACAGCTGTCTGTAACTCCAGTTCCAGGGGATCTGATGCCCTCTTCTGGCCTCCATGGGCACCAGGCACACACATAGTTCACAGACATACATGTCAACAAAACACTCATACACATAAACAAGAGACAGTGAACTTTGCTTAGGCTCTCAGTTGGAACCCTAGTCAGTAACTAAACCCATGCTATTTATTCTCTCACTCCAGCTAGGCTTGCAGAGCCAGGTGGCCTACTCCATACGGCACTGGGGATGGGAGCAGCATCCTGGGAGACAAGGGCAGAGGAACCTTAGGAACAATGGTCTATGTGGCATTTGGCAAGCAGCCAGTAAAAACAGTCCAACCTCCCCCAAGGTTCTGGGCATCTTTGGAAAGACCCTAACTACAGTCTTAAAGCCCCGGAGCCCTGGAATTAAAGACTAAAGGGGAAGCTGGAATTCAGGGGGCAGCTGGGCCTGAAACAGGTACCCCTCCCTTCCCCCTTCTCACCTAGCAGAGGTTGAAGACAGGAGGGGCCCCTTCCCAGGGCTTCTTGGCATCAGGACCTCGGCGTGTTGACCAATGTCTGGGTGGGGGTGGGAGGCACAGAGTGCTGAGGGTTTTTCTTGGGAACGTTGCCCCCCTTGTAAAAGAGACATACAGGAGGGGTGGGGTGTCACTGGCTGCCATGAAAGGGAAAGCAGAGGAAGCACCTGCAAGCTTGACAACAGCAGAGAGCAAAACCACTAGGTCTGTCCCAGTGGCGGAGAGCACAACCCCATCCCATTGTCTGCAGTGTGGGCTTGGCTCTTTGGTTACTTGTGGCTGACAGCATGATAGTGACCTGTGACTTTTTTTTTTTAAGACAGGGTCCCAAGTAGCCAAGGATGGCCTTGAACTTCGGAGTTGCTTGCCTCTACTACCTGAGTCCTTGAGATTGCAGATGTGGGCCACCACACCTGGCTCATGTGGTGTTTAAGCACTTGACCAGCTGAGGCCCAGCCCCAGCCCTCTGTGACGTTGTCTTTGGTCTCTACCTCTCTCTAGGCACTCCATCTTATCACAGTACCCCTAGCTCTGGAAGTTAAAAACTCTCATTTGGAAAAAACCCAAGTCACCCTGTCCCCCACACCCTTCTAAGTCAGAGTCTCCCTCACCACTCCCACTCGAGA